AGGTCTCCTCACACACTGCTGGTGTGTAGAATTTTTTGACATAGGGTGCTGGCAGATTACGGGCCTCCCATAGCTGCTGCCAGGCCCCTAATCTGCCATGGGCCCCTATATACCACCGCCTCCTCATGCTGCTGCCAGGTCCAGAGTCTCTCATGGGTCCCTGTACGGCCTCCCATTGCTGCTGTCTCCATCGCCACACTCTGCCATGTGCCACTTTCAGGTCTCCTCACACACTGCTGGTGTGTAGAATTTTTTGACATAGGGTGCTGGCAGATTACGGGCCTCCCATAGCTGCTGCCAGGCCCCTAATCTGCCATAGGCCCCTATATACCCGCCTCCTCATGCTGCTGCTGCTGCCAGGTCCAGAGTCTGTCATGGGTCCCTGTACGGCCTCCCATTGCTGCTGCTGTCTCCATCGCCACACTCTGCCATGTGCCACTTTCAGGTCTCCTCACACACTGCTGGTGTGTAGAATTTTTTGACATAGGGTGCTGGCAGATTACGGGCCTCCCATAGCTGCTGCCAGGCCCCTAATCTGCCATAGGCCCCTATATACCGCCTCCTCATGCTGCTGCCAGGTCCAGAGTCTCTCATGGGTCCCTGTACGGCCTCCCATTGCTGCTGTCTCCATCGCCACACTCTGCCATGTGCCACTTTCAGGTCTCCTCACACACTGCGTGTGTGTGAATTTTTTGACATAGGGTGCTGGCAGATTACGGGCCTCCCATAGCTGCTGCCAGGCCCCTAATCTGCCATAGGCCCCTATATACCGCCTCCTCATGCTGCTGCCAGGTCCAGAGTCTCTCATGGGTCCCTGTACGGCCTCCCATTGCTGCTGTCTCCATCGCCCACACTCTGTGCCACTTTCAGGTCTCCTCACACTGCTGGTGTGTAGAATTTTTTGACATAGGGTGCTGGCAGATTACGGGCCTCCCATAGCTGCTGCCAGGCCCCTAATCTGCCATAGGCCCCTATATACCGCCTCCTCATGCTGCTGCCAGGTCCAGAGTCTCTCATGGGTCCCTGTACGGCCTCCCATTGCTGCTGCTGTCTCCATCGCCACACTCTGCCATGTGCCACTTTCAGGTCTCCTCACACACTGCTGCTGGTGTGTAGAATTTTTTGACATAGGGTGCTGGCAGATTACGGGCCTCCCATAGCTGCTGCCAGGCCCCTAATCTGCCATAGGCCCCTATATACCGCCTCCTCATGTGCTGCCAGGTCCAGAGTCTCTGTCATGGGTCCCTGTACGGCCTCCCATTGCTGCTGTCTCCATCGCCACACTCTGCCATGTGCCACTTTCAGGTCTCCTCACACACTGCTGGTGTGTAGAATTTTTTGACATAGGGTGCTGGCAGATTACGGGCCTCCCATAGCTGCTGCCAGGCCCCTAATCTGCCATAGGCCCCTATATACCGCCTCCTCATGCTGCTGCCAGGTCCAGAGTCTCTCATGGGTCCCTGTACGGCCTCCCATTGCTGCTGTCTCCATCGCCACACTCTGCCATGTGCCACTTTCAGGTCTCCTCACACTGCTGGTGTGTTGAATTTTTTGACATAGGGTGCTGGCAGATTACGGGCCTCCCATAGCTGCTGCCAGGCCCCTAATCTGCCATAGGCCCCTATATACCGCCTCCTCATGCTGCTGCCAGGTCCAGAGTCTCTCATGGGTCCCTGTACGGCCTCCCATTGCTGCTGTCTCCATCGCCACACTCTGCCATGTGCCACTTTCAGGTCTCCTCACACACTGCTGGTGTGAATTTTTTGACATAGGGTGCTGGCAGATTACGGGCCTCCCATAGCTGCTGCCAGGCCCCTAATCTGCCATAGGCCCCTATATACCGCCTCCTCATGCTGCTGCCAGGTCCAGAGTCTCTCATGGGTCCCTGTACGGCCTCCATTGCTGCTGCTGCTGTCTCCATCGCACACACTCTGCCATGTGCCACTTTCAGGTCTCCTCACACACTGCTGGTGTGTAGAATTTTTTTGACATAGGGTGCTGGCAGATTACGGGCCTCCCATAGCTGCTGCCAGGCCCCTAATCTGCCATAGGCCCCCTATATACCGCCTCCTCATGCTGCTGCCAGGTCCAGAGTCTCTCATGGGTCCCTGTACGGCCTCCCATTGCTGCTGTCTCCATCGCCACACTCTCTGCCATGTGCCACTTTCAGGTCTCCTCACACACTGCTGGTGTGTAGAATTTTTTGACATAGGGTGCTGGCAGATTACGGGCCTCCCATAGCTGCTGCCAGGCCCCTAATCTGCCATGGGCCCCTATATACCGCCTCCTCATGCTGCTGCCAGGTCCAGAGTCTCTCATGGGTCCCTGTACGGCCTCCCATTGCTGCTGTCTCCATCGCCACACTCTGCCATGTGCCACTTTCAGGTCTCCTCACACACTGCTGGTGTGTAGAATTTTTTGACATAGGGTGCTGGCAGATTACGGGCCTCCCATAGCTGCTGCCAGGCCCCTAATCTGCCATAGGCCCCTATATACCGCCTCCTCATGCTGCTGCTGCCAGGTCCAGAGTCTGTCATGGGTCCCTGTACGGCCTCCCATTGCTGCTGTCTCCATCGCCACACTCTGCCATGTGCCACTTTCAGGTCTCCTCACACACTGCTGGTGTGTAGAATTTTTTGACATAGGGTGCTGGCAGATTACGGGCCTCCCATAGCTGCTGCCAGGCCCCTAATCTGCCATAGGCCCCTATATACCGCCTCCTCATGCTGCTGCCAGGTCCAGAGTCTCTCATCATGGGTCCCTGTACGGCCTCCCATTGCTGCTGTCTCCATCGCCACACTCTGCCATGTGCCACTTTCAGGTCTCCTCACACTGCTGGTGTGTAGAATTTTTTGACATAGGGTGCTGGCAGATTACGGGCCTCCCATAGCTGCTGCCAGGCCCCTAATCTGCCATAGGCCCCTATATACCCGCCTCCTCATGCTGCTGCCAGGTCCAGAGTCTCTCATGGGTCCCTGTACGGCCTCCCATTGCTGCTGTCTCCATCGCCACACTCTGCCATGTGCCACTTTCAGGTCTCCTCACACTGCTGGTGTGTAGAATTTTTTGACATAGGGTGCTGGCAGATTACGGGCCTCCCATAGCTGCTGCCAGGCCCCTAATCTGCCATGGGCCCCTATACCGCCTCCTCATGCTGCTGCCAAGTCCAGAGTCTGTCATGGGTCCCTGTACGGCCTCCCCATTGCTGCTGTCTCCATCGCCACACTCTGCCATGTGCCACTTTCAGGGTCTCCTCACACTGCTGTGTGTGTTGAATTTTTTGACATAGGGTGCTGGCAGATTACGGGCCTCCCATTGCTGCTGCCAGGCACGTAATCTGCCATGGGCCCCCGTACCGACTCCTCATGCTGTGACGTTGCAACAAGGTGGAATTCAACCCCTACATATGTTAGACCGCCTTTACGAACAGCGAAAGGCCATCACCGATTTCCTGATGTTAAAAGCGGATAAAGGTACTCCCTGTGTAACTTAGATGTCAGCCATTGGCAGCTCATGCGTGACACCTGCGCTTGCTTGCTCAGGCCCTTTGAGGAGGCCACGCTATTCGTGAGTCGGCAGGACTATGGGGGATGAACGACGTCATTCCTCTGTTGCACGTCCTGGAACAAATGCTGTTAACAATGGCTGGTCAGGGTGCGGTAGACGTGGCGCACAGATCTCAACGCCACATGACCCCTGTGGGGGCAGGACAGGAAGAAGAGGAGGAGGTAGAGGAGGACACATTGGTGCTCAGGAAATTATTGAGTGAAATGGGTGGTTTTTCCACTCAGCGGGACAGGAGTGGAGGAGCAGGAGCATCTGGTAGAGGAGGAGGAGGAGGAGACAGAGGACCCAGACGCACCGTGGCAGTATGCTGTGGAGATGGAGGCAGGGAGTCCCTCGCATTCCTTGGCACAAATGGCCCATAGCATGCTCGCTTGCTTGCGTAGCGACAGCCGAATAATAACCATCAGACAGAGGGATGACTTTTGGCTGTCCACCTTGTTGGACCCTCCCTCGCTACCGTTCAAAAATGGTGGCCTTTTTCACACCTGCTGAGAGGGAGGCCAAAATAACGTACTATAAAAACCACCTATGTAGTCAGCTGGTCTCTGCCTGTCTGCGCCAACGTCCATCCTCAGACACTGTGGGCCCTGTGCGCTCGCGTTCCGCTGCCATGGCAGCAGGGGAGGGGTGGGGTGGTAGGAGCAGTGGCAGCTCCACCAGCAGCGGCTGCCTCAGTCTGCAGTCGATGAGAGTAGCTTTCTTCACCAGCGCAGTGAGGAAACTACTAACCAGCCGCAGCAGCAGCAGCAGCAGCAGCAGCAGCAGCATGGACCTGGAGCAGGACCTCAAACAACAGGCTTAGGCCTACTTGGACAGCACCCCTGCCAACCGAGGTAGACAATCCCCTTGACTACTGGGCAACGAAACTTGACCTTTGGCCCCAACTAGCTGAATTTGCCCTTGAAAGGCTGTCATGCCCGGCCAGTAGCGTGGCATCGGAGCGCGTGTTTAGTGCGGCAGGAGGTATTGCAACTCCGCGGAGGACACGACTGTCCACCCAAAGTGTGGAGAGACTGACGTTTGTGAAAATGAATCAGGCGTGGATTAGTCTGGATTTCAAACCACCAGTTCCTGACACAACTGACTAAATCCGCCATGAATCATGCCCCAAACATGTGCCACTTTCAGGTCTCCTCACACTGCTGGTGTGTTCCATTTTTTGTCATAGGGTGCTGGCAGATTTACGGGCCTCCCATAGCTGCTGCCAGGCCCCTAATCTGCCATGGGCCCCTATACCGCCTCCTCATGCTGCTGCCAAGTCCAGAGTCTCTCATGGGTCCCTGTACGGCCTCCCATTGCTGCTGTCTCCATCGCCACACTCTGCCATGTGCCACTTTCAGGTCTCCTCACACTGCTGGTGTATTCCATTTTTTGTCATAGGGTGCTGGCAGATTACGGGCCTCCCATAGCTGCTGCCAGGCCCCTAATCTGCCATGGGCCCCTATACCGCCTCCTCATGCTGCTGCCAGGTCCAGAGTCTGTCATGGGTCCCTGTACGGCCTCCCATTGCTGCTGTCTCCATCGCCACACTCTGCCATGTGCCACTTTCAGGTCTCCTCACACTGCTGGTGGGTTCCATTTTTTGTCATAGGGTGCTGGCAGATTACGGGCCTCCCATAGCTGCTGCCAGGCCCCTAATCTGCCATGGCCCCCCCCCGTACCGACTCCTCATGCTGCTGCCAGGCCCGTAATCTGTCATGGGCCCCTGTTGTCGCTTGTTGGCATATTCCGCTCGTTCAGATGCTCCTTCTCCTGCTACTCCTCTTCACGGATTCCGTCAGCAGTCTTTCTTGGAATCCGTTTCCAAGAGACAACAGTTTGCGAGCACGCACCCAGACGGTGCAGAAACTGAACGTCCTCCTGTCCAAGTTGCTGCTGCCAGGCTCGTAATCTGTCATGCGCCCCTGTACCGCCTCCTCATGCTGCTGCCAGGTCCAGAGTGTGTCATGGGCCCCCGTACCGACTCCAAATGCTGCTGCCAGGCCCGTAATCTGTCATGGGCCCCTGTACCGCCTCCCCATGCTGCTGCCAGGTCCAGATTGTGTCATGGGTCCCTGTACGGCCTCCCATTGCTGCTGCCAGGCCTGTAATCTGCCATGGGCCCCCGTACCGACTCCTCATGCTGCTGCCAGGCCCGTAATCTGCCATGGGCCCCTGTACCGCCTCCTCATGCTGCTGCCAGGTCCAGAGTGTGTCATGGGTCCCTGTACGGCCTCCCATTGCTGCTGTCTCTATCGCCACACTCTGCCATGTGCCACTTTCAGGTCTCCTCACACTGCTGGTGGTTTCCATTTTTGTCATAGGGTGCTGTATGGCCTCCCATTGCTGCTGCCTCCACCGCCACACTGTGGCTCCACACTCTGGTTTTGGCCCCGTGACTGGCCAAATGAGTGAAGTGTGCGGTGATTCTAAGATCGACGGCACTCATCTGCATGTCATACTGCCTGACAGTATTATTTCTCTTCCCCAGCAGACTCCAAGGGCATTTAAATTAAAGGAGTCGAATCGAATTTTTGAATACTTCGCTCATCTCTAGTCCTGAGGAGAATTCTTGGGAACCCGCTCAAAATGTTCATGCTCCTAGACTCATGCGGGGGTTCGTGCGTGATCACCCGCCGTGGAAAGATCAATTGGGCACCCAGAGGGTACCCATAGGGGGGGGCAATGTCAGGGACCATCGCGACGCATGTGTCTACACAGGCGTAGGTGTCTGCCAAGACGTGTAGGTGGCAGGGCACTAGGACCCAGGCGCACCCGTCGTCTTGACAGTACTAGGCAGGCACTAGGACCTAGGCTGCACCTGCCAGGTGCAGGGCAGGCTATTTAAGCCAGCTCTGCACAAACACTTGTTGCTGAATGGTCTTGGTATGCTGTTACCTGTGTTGTGAGTATCTTGATCTGGATTGTTTGACCTTGCTGCCTTCTCCTGTCCTGACCCTTGGCCTACCTGACTCTGCTCCTGGATGTTCCCCTTTAAATCTGATCTTTGGTATTGACCCTGCGTGTGACCCGACTATCCTTTGCCTACCGTTTTGTACTTCACCGACCCGCTAGTTGCCCACCCGGCCTGTATGACTCTGATTTAGCTCATCCATCAATCCATCCCGCAGGGATCACTAGGCTCCCTCGCATCAGACTCTTAGCCCCCTGGAGCTCCTGTCAGACTCCTCTACCCCTGTTGGAGATACCTAGCAGCTGCGACCTGGTACCCGGAGCGCTCCAAGTCCATCCCCACCATCAGGGGCCCTGGTGAACAAGTGCTCCGGTGCTTAGACTCCGCACTCTGGGGAGGCTCTGCCAGGGGATTGATAGAGGTGCTGTCAGGCGGTCCATTACAGATACATTATGACCAAGTCAGGTTTTTGCCTGGTAAAGAGTCCTGGGATAACTCCTGTAGGGCAATAAACCTAATCTATCTTGCCAATGCCAAGCCCCTCCCATTCTCGCTTCTTTCAACAGATATGGAGAGGGCCTTTTTGATAGAGTGAGTTGGAGCTTTCTGAGAAGAACGCTCACTCATATCAGTGTTGACAATAACATGCTCAAATGGATAAATGCCTTATTCGAATGTCCTGTGGCAGCAGTATATGATGTCATTTCATCTTATTTTTTTTTTAACAAATGGAACCAGACAGGGCTGCCCATTATCGCCACTTCTCTTTATTCTAACACTGGATACTCTACTAAGACAAATCAGAATGAATCCAAACACAGTGGGTGTAGAAGTGAATGATACACATTAAAAGGTTGCTGCCTACGCAGATTACTTGTTATTTTTTATCTAGACCAGAAATACCTGTCTCCAGGGGCGGACTGACAACTCATGGGGCCCCGGGCAATAGAGGATCATGGGGCCCCTGTATCCTCACCCACAGCCCAAAAAGGCCTTTGAAAAAGCCAATTAAAGGTACCAGGGGCATCTCATGGGGTCCCCTACTGACCAAGTGGCCAAATGGTCAGTCCGCCGCCCCTGCCTGTCCCTAATCTCCTACGAGAACTTGAGGCTTATTCAAAACTCTCAAATTACAAAATCAATTTAACCAAGGCAGAAGCTTTAAATATTATTATTACTTCTATCACTATGCAAGCCTTAGAGACACATTTGCCCTTTAAGTGGGACAAAGGAAAATGTGGAATTTACCTTACTCCAAAACTTGAAAATGGATTTAAAGAAAATAGTCCCTCCTTCTTAGCAATGCTTCAATGGGACATGAAGAACTGGAGATGTTGCAGGCATACATGATTTGGGAGGAATAGTACTCTAAAGATAAATGTTACCCCCATATCTTTTTCAAGCGCTTCCCATTTCTATTCCTACAACTTTTTTTGAAAACACTAAATGTGAATTCTCCCAGTTTTTGTGGGTAGACCAAAAACCAAGTGTTATACTTGGGGCTTGTTTAGCTCAAGGTAGCGCTTACCAGTGAGTACAGTCCACTCCATAAATGATCATTTAAAGCTTGTTGGCCCACTTTCATTGAGGAGTAAATAAAAAGTTCAACAAAACATAAGGTTGCCCCACACAGGGGTATCCAAACTAAAGATTTAGCCTCCTGGCTCTCTTTAGCAGCACCGCTGCTCAGGCTTTATGTCTCAATCCTTTTGACCATATAACAGTCTCCCTGTATTAATGTACAAACACTGTACCTCAGTTAGCACTCTTTTACAGAATTCCTGATTTTCAACCCACAGGCTTGGGCCCTCTGTCTACTCTGTCAGACTACACCATGCATGGTTGTGGCTGCTCATTTGCACCCACATGGATTCTTTGGGAGGGTGGAGCCCAGATCCCTGGTCCTGTCTCTACAAAAAGCCCACATACCAGCTGAACAATAAGTGTCCTGGCCCATTCCTAAACCTTGGTCCTAGGGTTTGAGATTTCCTCCCACCAGATCACTGTGACATCTCCAGGCCCCAAACCGAATTTTACCAAACACAGAGAAAACTAAAAATACAGTTGCCTCCAAATTATACAAGCATTCTGGAGCCCCTCAACCTGCCTAGTTGAGAACCTGGGCACCATGACAGAGAACAATACTGGCACACTATATTAAGAGCAGACATTCTGGGGTTTATTTACTAAAGCTGGAGAGTCCAAAATCAGACTCCCTTCTGCATAGAAACCAATCAGCTTCCAGGTTTCATTGCCAAAGCTTCATTGAACAAGCTGAGGTTAGAAGCTGATTGGTTTCTATGCAGAAGGGAGTCTGATTTTGGACTCTCCAGCTTTAGTAAATAAACCCCTCTGAGTCTTCCAAAACACAGTAAAGGTATGAGTTTTCTAGACCCAGCCCTTTGTCTCCAGGCGACCCATTTTGTAAGGGTACTGGATTGATGTAAACATATGGAAAAAAAGAGTTGGGTGGCCCTGGCCTGGAACAGGCTTTCTCACCCCTACCCCTCCAGACATTCCCTTGACTACCCATAACCAGCTACCCAACGGTTAAAAATCACCTACTGATAGGAACACCAATAAAGATTATTCAAAGAACAAAATAAATTGCCGTTTCCTCAAGTAAGTAGTCTCTTATGATGCTAGTTGTAGAAAACCCTGATTTTCCAACTGTGATACAAGACCCAAGTTTTCATCTCTTTCTCCACAATCATATATTCAGGTTAAAGGACTTTCTGTCAGAGGAACACTAGAAATCAATATTTAACATACAAGCCGTTATTTCCCCACAATTGCCATTTTGACAAGCCCTACAGCTCAAAGATTTCCTTACCTACTTAAATATCAAATAATGTGATCTCCCTAAGTTGATGGTATATAAAACGTTATGCAAAGATTCATCCCAGATTCAGCACTGTCTATCGTTTGCCTGCTCTTTACTTACACTTTACTTTTACTTGTACTTTGCACACAAATCCCCAATTGCCTCTACATTTCAAGAATCTGGATATAACATTCTCACCAGATGGTATAAGGTCCCTGCAAGATTATGCAGGATGTATCCAGAAATAAATCCATATTGCTGGAGATGTGGGGAAATTGAAGGAACAATCCTGTATATATTCTGGACCTGCCCACGAGTCTGGCCTTTCTGGTTTAATATTTATGAACTGAATTATGATCTCACTAGCCTACTTTTAGCAGACAATCCAACAGCTTACCTTTTGCATCTCAGTCCTTTATCCAAGAGAAAATACCAACGCTCATCAGTATTCTATTTGATAAATATGGCGAGGTCATGTATTTCAGCAAAATGGTAAGATTTCTTTCCTCATACAGTAGGGCAGTGGCTGTTAATAGTAATTGAGTTAATTGAGTAAATGAAAATGAGATATCTGACATTGTCTCTAAGGAATCAATGAGAAAGATTCCATAAGACATGGTGCCAATGGACTAGGTTTCAGCTCACATCTCATTGAAAGGAAATGATGAAGACAGCTCTGCAGGATTGAACATGAGTCCACTAATCTGGTCAGACAGGCCTACCTGAGGTACTTTTTAATTCTCCCCTTTTTTCCTCTTTCTTTCCTCTCCTTCTCCTTCCCTTTTTTTTTTTTTATAAACAAAACAGGGAAGGAGAGGGGAGTGTGTGTGTGTGTGTGTGAGTGTGTGTGGAGCAGAAAAATGGGGGAAAAAAAGGCTAAATCAGAGATAATGTGGCATGACGATAGTACAAGATTAATACTACATAAAAATATATACCATTGAATACTTATTATTGTAACAGGGGGGTTGCATTTAAACAATATATACCAGGAAAATTTTTCTCATTGACTTGATTATCTTAAGACATGAGGGTTGTAACTAGTATTATATCTTATTGGTGTTGATTATTGTAATTGACTGTAACTGTCTAATGCCATGAGCTTTTAACTAATAAAGTATTGGATGCTGACAGGTGGGTTTACTAAATTTGAATGCCAAAGACTGGCCTGAAAAATTGGAGGTTGGAAGCTTCTTGCATTTAGGTTAGCGCTGGAGGAGCGGAGGCATCTGAAGGGTGATTACATCAGTTGGCAATTTTTAACAACAACAAAAATTTGCTAAACTCCAAAACCAGCAACAAATTAAACCCCAGCAAGCTCCATGGTCCATGGTCTTCTCCAGATTCAACTATATTTTAATGTATAAACCCAGCACTGATAACTTCTGGGCTGATATCTTTTCCAGATTGTTGATGCCCTTATCCCTTATGGTACAGTATGTCCGAAATCTCTCATAGAGACCTCATAGATCCTCACTGTATCCTGTCTCCCAACCCATTGTTCCTAATGGCTGCTCCTTAGTACTTCCAAATCTCTGTCAAGAGTACTTCATAGGCCTCATGACTAAATTTGTTGGTCATCAGGACATCCAG